TCTATATAAATTCATGCTAATTGAAAGGGTAAAACTACTAACCCATCTCCAGTAATTCTACAGCCAGAGAAAGTTAGAACATAACTGCTCATTATAAATTCTAGAAATGATTTTCATCACTATTCCATGTTACAAAAAATACCCCCACCCAAAGGTTAAAACCTAAGAGAGAGAAAAATGTATTTCAGAGTTCATGTAATATCCAGAAAATATTGAGCATCAACTGATCCACACATATTGCAGCCTAGAGAAAATGGCTATCTGAATTTCTAAGAACTTATGAATGCTTAATAAAATCAATTAGCTTTAGGAGAAACATACTCAACCACTATCTGAGTCAACTGTTACTCATTAATTCCCTATTATGACTTTTTGTGCTACCACTACAACCTAAAACAGTAAATCATATAACAGCAAATTAAGGTACATCCAAGTGAATCGGACCCTGATTACTCTATGTACAAAGGATCACCAATTGGTTTCTTATACATATATAAAGATTGATCCGCATATTGAATTTAGTATTATCAGAAGAATATGCGATTGATGCACATAACTATTGCTTGTGCTTAAAAAATACAAATTGGCAATGTGGATGTAAAACTGCAACCAATGGTATAAAATGAGCTATTCTGCTTCCGCTCGTTAGATTTTCAAAGACGATTTAATGAGTGGCAAGCACAAACAATAGTTTCCACTGCAAATAACCCCCAAAACGAAAAGGAAACAAGCTAGTGTGGAATGGGTAATACACCAGAGACCACTATTGCACTAATTGACGATAAATAAATATAGAAGGTGGAGGGATAAATGTCTCAATGGCTTTAAAACATGAAAATTCTTTAGACGAACTTGTAAGCAGGACTCACGTGTTCACACCTTCAGCACCAGATTCAAGCAAGAATAAACATACACCCACATATGGAGTCTCATATTCCAACTATAGAATGGATCCATAACTGCATATTTCCTAATAAATTCATCAAATAATGTTAATTAGCATAGCCATCTTGTATATATGGCTTTACTCTGGAGATAAAATTATTAATATCTGCTAGATACAATAATGTTCTAGACATTGTTGTGAGCAAAAAATATGGGTCTCCAAATCTGAACTAACAATATTAGCCCAACAGATTAGGAAATCTGCTCCTACATGCATGCATGATAGACCATCGATCTTATCTTCATAAACGAAAAGGAAAAGAATGAGAATAAAACAAATTGTAGTGACTGTGGGTACGAACATTTTCAGCAATCAGCAGTCATGCATTTAAAATGTCTGAGATGCTTCCGATTCCCCCACCAATTGAAACACCCTGATAAAAGCTCTAATCAGATCCAGCGACTCGGCAAAAATACAAAAAAAGGAAAAGAGCTTCCACTAAAAGCAATTGGTACCGTTCTTTCCTTCTTCTTATTTTCCGAAGGCAACCAATTTTCATCTCTCAAAGCTTCATCAGCTGCACATAGAGCATATATGCTATAAATCCCATTCTTTCATTCTTCTGATTTTCCGAAGGCAGACAATTTGCATCCCTAAAAGACTCATCAGCTGCACATAGAGCATATGCTATAAATCCCGATATAGATCTACTGTCATGGAAACAAAAATGTTCAATAACCAATTCGAAATATGAAACAAAGTTTAACTATGAGACACAAAACGTCACCAGTTACATATTAGTCATATGATAGCATCTCATCAGAACATAACAGATTTCTAATTGTAGAAGAGAGACAATCGGTCTACCACAATGAACGTGTAATTAATAACTTCTATCTACTTAAATCATATAGATACCTGGCAGAAGAAACGCCAAAGATAGGTCCAACAACGAGTTGTGGCATTGTAGACTGTTACTCCAAATGGCACTGAAGATAAGGGTCCTTATATCAGCACCAGTTATCACATGACAGTATTGCAGCATTGTCTACGGGAAAGCATGTATAGTATGCTGAAACATAACAACCTTATTTAAATTTCTCTTGAGCGGCTTATACATGAAATCCAAGAATGCACTGATACAGATACATGTATTAGTATAAGGCTGATAAGGATACGTAAATTCGCCATTTCCTAAAAGCACCAATATGGGGATACGCTTTTTTTAGTTCACAAAAAATATATCATCACCATCGGCTAATTAAAATTCAGTTCATTGAATCAGTACACAACTTCATCAGCATTTTGTGCATAACATTCCCATCAGCGAGGGTGAGTTACCGAGCATGGCACAGAGCAGGGCCGACCTCGGCAGGTGTGGGCAGAGTGCTCACCAGTCCGGTCAGATCTGCCAACATCCCGAGCTCCACCATGGCAGGCAACTCAAAGTCCCGGCCTTTGGCGAGAGAACAAACACAACCAGTAGTCAACAAGATGAGAAGAAGCAAGAAATCACGCTGGATCAAAAGGATGTTAAGTAGCAATTCATATATGATAAATCACAAGTGGAACAATCATGTGCAGAAAAGGGAACAACAATCCAATCTCACAGCTATAGTGGGAAAACCAATTTATACCGGATAGTTAGGCCTCGTGTCCACACCTCCTCGTCGAAGAAATACATGGGAGTGACAACTACGAAACTAAAGCAAAACAACACAGAAGAAACCTACCCATGAGAATAGAAAAATAACTAAAATAATAATAATTGGAAGAGAATGAATGGAGTTACCGTCAGCCAGCTAAGGTCTTGATCATTAGTTTCCTTTTACATTGAGGGATTGATTGTTACTTTCCTACCCAGGCAAACATATAACTAATAATATATATGCTGTGAAAGAAAAATAAGATATAGAGTAGCCTTAGAAATACTTCTCTTTTCCTACTTAAGCGATGGTGTATGAGCATGAATTAAATCTAATTTTGAGGGGTTGCATACGAGATTGTATTCAATAATTCATATGATAGCAAAAAAAATGCTTCCATCCTGATCTTTCACACCCAATAATTATTTGTCTTATCCTTTATAACATATTGTATATCTGTTTCCCACATTAATATCTATTTCCCTAGCACTACATGACCATCAGGTAATGTAGGTGCTGAACATTACGACTGATAAGCTTCTTGTCAGCAAAAACACTTTAAAAGTCAATGCTGAAAAGATAGTACATCTACTTGAAGCAGCAAGAATGCAGCACACAATTACATACATATATCATTTATAAATGTAATCTTCGTTCCTACTTAACAATGGAACTGCCAGCGGGGATGCATAATATAAACCCAGATGCAATAATTGATGTCTATACTTTACTGGGTGATGGGAACATGTAGGCTGCATCATACGAATCCATAAGCAATTGGAATTCTACAAGGAGGCAAACAAATCGCTATGTGAGAATGACTCTTTCCTCGATAATGGCTGTTTTTATGTTTCGAACAAAACAACGGCAAAGCTTATGAGACCTTGTTTGGTCTGATCCTATGAGAGAATGTAAGCCCTGCCCAAATTGAACAACACTACAGAGGACTAAAAAACAGAGTGCAAATTCAGGAGGACTAAACCATTACATACCCAGTGGTCATTCACATCGACTACCTTAGTCCTGTGTCGTTCTCCAACAGCACATCGTCCATGGCCATGGCCTCGCACAACATCGTCCAGCGCAGCAGCGATGCCTGCTGCACACATTCTTCCAGTTTACGCTCTCCACATGCCGCAAAAGACCAACGAAACACATCCGTGCATGAATCATTCAACAAGGTGGCCCAAATCAGTGCCAATTCAAGGCCAGCAGTAGCAAAAATCATGTACATAATGAGAATTTCAAAAGGAAAGATCATGCATATATATATATACATATATATATATATATATAGGGAAAATAGATACTACCACCTAGTGGTAGTTACCTCCTACCTTGTTACCATTAGATCCATCAAGATTCGTGCATACTTAACGGGTACGTGGGAGAAAAAAAATTGGGTTCTGTTACTTTCTGCCCGTTTGGATCTTAACTATATGCCCTATGTTTCAGGTCGCACCAAACTAGAGGATAAACCATCCTCTCCCTCTAACATGCTGCCAAAATAAATTTAGTTATTTGCCACCGAAAGGAACGCCGCCGGCCATCCACCAAACTGTGACAAAAAGGGTCTACGAGTTTCATTGTTCATCATTGTGGTCTAGAGCAGCGAAGCCATCGACGTCCTGCCCATATGCTTCAAATTATGGAGAACAATACTCCACTGGTGCATTAGAAGATGCGTGTGTATGTCTAGCTGATCTAATCTCTTGCTATAATTGCATCACATGCAGTTCTTACTTTTGAGATTGAAATCTATTTTTAACACTAATAGACATGATTTTGAGGAATCCAAGAATTTGGTAAAAGTTAAATGTCAAATGTATAGGGATTATTAGTATTATCTTTCTCATACCTTCTCTTCATTCTGAAAAAGACAATGATTAGAGATATATATACCATGCAGATAATTGAGATTTTGTTAACACGTGCTACACACATCAACCTGCACTGTGTTGGTAAATTATTCAAAAAAAAATTAAATTGACATAGAGCAGGAAGAAATCATATTTCAGTCTTGAAATAGAAAAATAGTATACCTATTATCCCATCTCAGTAAATATTTGCCACTCAAGACAGTAGTACAATAATCTGTACCAACAATATAGGGCAGGTCATAACCAAAAACTCAAGACGAGTTTGAGCTCTTTATTGAGAATCAGACCAAGAACCATAGAAAATTTAAGAAAGAAGACGGAAGACGAGGCATAGCTTACTGTGTGGTTGGACCCGATCCAGCCGAAGAGGAAGCAATCAGGCATCATGGACCCTGTTGCGGAAGGCCTGGATGGCAAATAAGGACCCCAGCCGGTAGGGCGGTGTTTTGAGCAATGGCAAGACGGAGACGTCGACATGCTTCACGAGCAGCCCCGGGACAGACTCCTCAAACACCTCCACTGCTATTCAACGAAGGGTCAGGTACGTCTGTGTCTGTGCGTGCGTGAGCAAAGAGAAGAAGGTTCAGATCAGAGAGCGTACTGGCGTGGAGGAGCCTTGCGAAGAGAGCCCATCCTCGAGATGCCCAATCCATACCATACTGCATCCCGCGCAGCCGCCGTTGACGACCGAAGCACATCGTCCCACTTCGATTCCATCCAGTGGGAGGTCCGCGACATCCATATGGAGCCACCTCCGTTGCCAATTCCACCTCCCGAGTACCGCATCACCAGGTTGTCTTCTTCATCTCCGGCAAGCCAACGCCATCGGATTTTCGTAACCTCCATGACGCCTCAAGAGTGGAGTAGACACAGGGGTCGTGATGTGGGCGCTGAAAAGGGAGGAGGTGGGCAGGGCTCCGGGGTATGCGTGGGTGCGCGGAGAGAGAGAGAGGGTCGCCACCGCCACCGCCGCCGCCGTGATCCAGATCGAGTTCCCAGGCGCGGGGAGAGATTGTTAGGTTTTTTTCTTTGTGTGAGGGGTCGTCGTATGGTTCTTTTTCGCGAGGGCGGTTGTCGTCCAGTTTTTTTCTCATGCGAGGGGGCGTCGTGCTTGGGTGTGAGGGAGGTGGGAGGATTGATAAAAAAATCAGCAAAAATAAACCGTGAAGACTATTCATCAACTCGTCCATTAGGAGTAGAGATCACAATGAGTAATAGGAGCAACATCATTTAGGAGGGATACCTTTTTACCTTTGTTTTTTAATTTTTTTCTTTTTCTTCTTAGCATCATATGGGTTTAACCCTTTTTTTGGAGCTCCTTATTAATGAGATTGGTTGGATAGAAGGCTCCTTCTCATTACCTGATTCATCATAAGAAAAAATAGAAAGATATTGGGAAATCTCTTCTCTTTCATTAGTATTCTCTTCATCTTCTAATTGTTTTCTTGGCTTTATGTAATTGGTAATATAAGGATTTTTAATGCAATTCATCGCACAATACATATAAATTTTCTCTATATCAAAATCAAGAACTTTATCAAAGGCAAATTCTGAAATATCCTTACTTATACGTTTCATTTCTTCATAACCCAGAAGCAAACTAAATTCACTACGATGCGCAAGGGAAATCAAGTCATCACAATTTTTGGACATGTTTCGATCATGAAACAATTTGCATTGGATATTTAAATGACCACGTTTATTGCAAATTTCATAAGGATGGCTAAGAAAATTTAAAATTTCAGCACAAACATCTAGCCTTTTTTGCAACCATTTAGTTTTTAAATACTTAGGCCTCTTGCAAAATCTATCTTCCCTATTTGGTGTGTACTTGCAAACCCTATGCACTTCACAAAAAATTGACATGCTTATAAGAGATATTTTCATCATGACTAGTGCAATCATCAGTAATACTATGGATATTCAAAGAGTTCGTACTAACAACATTGCAATCATGCTCATCATTAAAAGATTTAGTGCCAAACATATAATGCATTCTTCTTCTAGCATTTTGGCACAATTATCGGAATCCTTATTTTCATGAAAGATGTAAAAAAGATGAAGCATATGAGGTACCCTCAATTCCATTTTTTGTAATTTTCTTTTATAAACTAAACTAGTGATAAAACAAGAAACTAAAAGATTCGATTGCAAGATCTAAAGATGTACCTTCAAGTGCTAACATCCCCGACAACGGCGCTAGAAAAGAGCTTGATGTCTACTACACAACCTTCTTCTTGTAGACGTTGTTAGGCCTCCAAGTGCAGAGGTTTGTAGGACAGTAGCAAATTTTCCTCAAGTGGATGACCTAAAGTTTATCAATCCGTGGGAGGCATAGGATGAAGATGGTCTCTCTCAAACAACCCTGCAACCAAATAACAAAGAGTCTCTTGTGTCCCAACACACCCAATACAATGGTAAATTGTATATGTGCACTAGTCCGACGAAGAGATTGTGATACAAGTGCAATATGAATGGTAGATATAGGTTTTTGTAATCTGAAAATATAAAAACAGCAAGATAACTAATGATAAAAGTGAGCGTAAACGGTATTGCAATGCTAGAAAACAAGGCCTATGGTTCATACTTTCACTAGTGCAAATTCTCTCAACAATAATAACATAATTGGATCATATAACTATCCCTCAACATGCAACAAAAAGTCAGTCCAAAGTCACTAATAACAAAGACCAAACGAAGAGATTATTGTAGGGTACAAAACCACCTCAAAGTTATTCTTTCTGATCGATCTATTCAAGAGTCCGTAGTAAAATAATACTAAGCTATTATTTCCGTTTGATCTATCCTAGAGTTCGTACTAGAATAACACCTTAAGACACAAATCAACCAAAACCCTAATGTCACCTAGATACTCCAATGTCACCTCAAGTATCCGTGGGTATGATTATACGATATGCATCACACAATCTCAAATTCATCTATTCAACCAACACAAAGAACTTCAAAGAGTGCCCCAAAGTTTCTACCGGAGAGTCAAGACGAAAACGTGTGCCAACCCCTATGCATAAATTCACGAGGTCACGGAACCCGCAAGTTGATCACCAAAACATACATCAAGTAGATCACGTGAATATCCCATTGTCACCACAGATAAGCACATGTAAGACATACATCAAGTGTTCTCAAATCCTTAAAGACTCAATCCGATAAGATAACTTCAAAGGGAAACTCAATCCCTTACAAGAGAGTAGAGGGGAAGAAATATCATAAAATCCAACTATAACAGCAAAGCTCGCGGTACATCAACATCGTGTCGAATCAGGAACACGAGAGAGAGAGAGAGAGATCAAACACATAGCTATTGGCACATACCCTCAGCCCCGAGGGTGAACTACTCCCTCCTCGTCATGGAGAGCGATGGGATGATGAAGATGGACACCGGAGAGGGATTCCCCCTCCGGCGGGGTGCCGAAACGGGTCTAGATTGGTTTTCGGTGGCTACAGAGGCTTGAGGCAGCGGAACTCCCGATCTAGGTTTCTGTTTGGAAGTTTGGGTATATATAAGAGGTGTTGGAGTCGGGAATAAGTCAGGGGGGTCTCCGAGGCGGCCACGAGGTAGTGGGTGCGCCCGGGGGGTAGCCCCCCCCACCCTCGTGGGTGCCTCGGGACTCTTTTGGCCCATCTCCGATACTCCGTGGACTTCTTCTGGTCCAAAAATAGTCTCCATGAAATTTCAGGTCAATTGGACTATGTTTGGTTTTCCTTTTCTGCGATACTCAAAAACAAGAAAAAAATAGAAACTAGCACTGGGCTCTAGATTAATAGGTTAGTCCCAAAAATCATATAAAATATCATATAAATGCATATAAAACATCCTAGATTGATAATATAGTAGCATGGAACAAACCAAAATTATAGATACGTTGGAGACGTATCACCAAGACATTCCAATCCAACCACAAGAATCTTGATCTCTAGCCTTCCCCAAGTTGCTTTCCACTCAAATCATCTTTCCACCATAGCTAAATCCATGAGAGAGAGTTGAGTGTTGGGGAGACTATCATTTGAATCACAAGAGCAAGGAGTTCATCATCAACACACCATCTATTACCTTTTGGGTGGTGTCTCCTAGATTGGTTAGGTGTCACTTGGGAGCTTCCGACAAGATTGTGGAGTTGAACCAAGGAGTTTGTAAGGGCAAGGAGATCGCCTACTTCGTGAAGATCTACCCGAGTGAGGCAAGTCCTTCGTGTGTGATGGCCATGGTGGGATAGACAAGGTTGCTTCTTTATGGACCCTTCGTGGTGGAGCCCTCCGTGGACTCGCGTGAAGGAAATATGCCCTAGAAGCAATAATAAAGTTGTTATTTTTATTTCCTTATATCATGATAAATGTTTATTATTCATGCTAGAATTGTATTAACCGGAAACTTAGTACATGTGTGAATACATAGACAAACAGAGTGTCACTAGTATGCCTCTACTTGACTAGCTCGTTTATCAAAGATGGTTAAGTTTCCTAACCATAGACATGAGTTGTCATTTGTTGAACGGGATCACATCATTAGAGAATGATGTTTGACTTGACCCGTCTGTTAGCTTAGCACTATGATCGTTTAGTTTATTGCTATTGTTTTCTTCATAACTTATACATGATCCAATGACTATGAGATTATGCAACTCCCGAATAGCGGAGGAACACTTAGTGTGCTATCAAACGTCACAACGTAACTGGGTGACTATAAAGATCCTCTACAGGTGTCTCCGATGGTGTTTGTTGAGTTGGCATATATCAAGATTAGGATTTGTCACTCCGTCTATCGGAGAGGTATCTCTGGGCCCTCTCGGTAATGCACATCACTATAAGCCTTGCAAGCAATGCGACTAATGAGTTAGTTGCGGGATGATGCATTACGGAACGAGTAAAGAGACTTGCCGGTAGGGAGATTGAACTAGGTATTGAGATACCGACGATCGAATCTCGGGCAAATAACATACCGATGACAAAGGGAACAACGTATGTTGTTATGCGGTTTGACTGATAAATATCTTCGTAGAATATGTGGGAGCCAATATGAGCATCCAGGTTCCACTATTGGTTATTGATCGGAGATGAGTCTCGGTCATGTCTACATAGTTCTCGAACCCGTAGGGTCCGCACGCTTAACGTTCGATGACGATCGGTATTATGAGTTTATGTGTTTTGATGTACCGAAGGTTGTTCGGAGTCCCGGATGTGATCGCGGACATGACGAGGAGTTTCAAAATGGTCGAGATATAAAGATTGATATATTGGATGACTATATTCGGACACCGAATGAGTTTCGGGGGTCACCGGATATATATTAGAGTGCCGGAAGGGTTATCGGAACCACCGGAGAAGTAATCGGCCTTATTGGGCCTAGGGGAGAGAGAGAGGGGCTGCCAAGGGCTGGACGCCCCCCCCCCCAATGGTCCTAGTCCGAATTGGACTAGGGGGAGGGACGGCTCCCCCTCCTTCCTTCTCTTCCCCCTCCTTCCTTCTTCTCCTCGTAGGACTAGGAAAGGGGGAGTCCTGCTCCTACTAGGAGGAGGATTCCTCCCCCCTTGGCGCGCCTATGAGGGCCGGCCGGCCTCCCCCTCCCTCCTTTATATATGTGGGGAGGGGGCACCCTAGGACACACAAGTTGATTGTTTAGCCGTGTGCGGTGCCCCCTCCACAGAATTCCACCTTGGTCATATCGTTGTAGTGCTTAGGCGAAGCCCTACGTCGGTAACTTCATCATCACCGTTATCACGCCATCGTGCCGACAAAACTCTCCCTCAGCCTCAACTGGATCAAGAGTATGAGGGACGTCACCGAGCTGAACGTGTGCAGATCGTGGAGGTGCCATGCGTTCGGTACTTGATCGGTTGGATCACGAAGACGTTCAACAACATTAACCGCGTTTCATAATGCTTCCACTTTCGGTCTACGAGGGTACGTAGACATACTCTTCACCTCTCGTTGCTATGCATCTCCAAGATAAATCTTGCGTGATCGTAGGAATTTTTTTGAATAAGAATTTTTTTTGAAAGACCTCGGTGAAGCTGCTTATATATTGGGCATCGAGATCTATAGAGATAGATCAAGACGCTTAATTGGACTTTCACAAAGCACATACCTTGATAAAGTTTTGACAAAGTTCAAAATGGATCAAGCAAAGAAAGGGTTCTTACATGTGTTACAAGGTGTGAAGTTGAGTCAGACTCAATGCCCGACCACTGTAGAAGATAGAGAGAAAATGGAAGTCATTCCCTATGCTTCAGTCATAGGTTCTATCATGTATGCAATGCTGTATACCAGACCTGATATGTGCCTTGCTATTACTTTAGCATGGAGGTACCAAAGTAATCCAGGAGTGGATCACTGGACAACGGTCAAGAACATCCTACCTAAAAAGTACTAAGGATATGTTTCTCGCTTATGGAGGCGACAAAGAGCTTGTCGT